TGGAATGATGAATGATGTAAGGTGGTAGTTAGCAAACCGTCTGAACGCCCAAAGCATGCGTATAGTAAATGTACTTTAAATGAGTGACCTGAACTATGTGTTACTTATAAATTCAAGAATTCTGAAAATGAAACTTCTAAGCTGCCTAATAATTCATAACAGTATTGTTGTGGAAGATACAAGGAAGTCAGCCTCGCACTGCTTCTATATAGGGCTGAAATAACTCAGTGGATACCTTCTGCTCCTTGCTCTGGGTCACTTTCAGTCAGCATCCATAGTTAACCTTTCTAACCATCATTATTAGCATTTGAGTCTGTCTTCTCTCATGGAACCTATCCCTAATCCCAGCAGTTACATGTCAAGAGGTCATGAGAGCAGTCTTCAAACTTTTGCTTTAAAAAAAAAAAAAAAAAAAAATGGAGTAGTCTTGACTTTTCCATGTTGTGGCAACAACTTAGCTTCATCCACACAGATAAGGAGAGAGGCCACAGGGGAAGAGAGAGGGGACACAAAGGTCCTGCCTGGCCAAACTAAACTAGCTGGATTGTGACACGACAGATGTCACACCGACCACAGCAACACAGACTGCAGCCCATCACTACAACCCAGACCTGGGGATGCGCTGTATCTAGACAAAGAGCAGGCCAGTGGCTAGCTCGGGTGGCTGGTTCACGAGTTTGGGCACGGTTAGCTGACTATGCAGTGAAGGCTGTCTTTACAGAGTGCTCGTCACTTACTGGGAACACAGTTTAAATTGCCGAATGCCGCCCCCCCCCCCCTTTAAAATCAAGTTCTTGTGCAGCCCAGGCTATTACGTAGACAAACTTGTTATGTAGACAAAGTTGGCCCTGAACTGCTGCTGACCTTCCCCCGTCTCTACCTCCCTAGTGCTAGCATGACGGGCCTGAACCACTGTGCCTAGCCATCCTATGCTGCCCAGCTGGATAGCTCTGAAACTTACTCTGTATCCGGAGTTGTTCAGTGTTTGTAACAGCAATTTGCAGCAACCTACTGCCCAACTAAAATTAACAACTTACAGTTTAAGTCTGTAATGAATTATGCTATCTTGCAATAAAGTGACAATTGAAACAAAAATAACCCCAAGGATCATTTGAATGGAGCACCTCAGAAGTGCTCTGTGGCTAAGGAAATGCTCGATTCACACAAATACATACTTTTACAGAAACGAATACATTTCAATTAGCTCAAAAAGCATTTTAAATCTTTAACTAAGAAATCATCCATACTATGCAAGACACAATGAATGCAAACTGTGAATTTGCACTGTAGCACCTTCAATTAACATTAAGGGGGGAAAAGCTCAAACTGGGGAGAGAGAAAAAAATTACTCTAATTGTATTTTCTTCAAAAAAAAAATTAACTTTCTCACAAGTAAGTTGTTCATTTAAAAAGAAGCTGAACCACCATGTAAGTCGTGAAGCCTGGAATGTTTAACATTTGAACACAGTAATCTGGGCATGGTGGCATATGCCTGTAATCCCAGCACACTGGGGGCACTCAGGGGAGGAGCCCAGAGGCTCATGTGCCAGATGATCCAGTCCAATAGGTAAGCTCCAGGTTCAATGAGAGAAGCCATTTCAGAAAATAAGGCGGAGAGTATCTGAGGAAAGTGACCCATTTTGATGTCTGACCTGCAAGCAACACTCAGAAGTATATGAACATACATGAATACATTAAATGCACACATGTGTGTGTGTGTGTGTGTGTGTGTGTGTGTGTGTGTGTTCTTCAATTCACATCCATTCAGAACTAAGTACCAAAATGATAAATTTTAAAAACTGGGTTGAACCTTATGCTAAATGCTTCTGGGTAACTGTCACTGATGCAGAGAAATGGGAGAGAACCCCCCATGGACCTACATGAGGCTACCAAGCCTCAGGTGCCACAGCAGAGTAACATGGATTCTCGTGGCCACAGCCATGTTCTCACTTGTCTCTATCTTGATGATATTCTCCATGCTCCTGAATAAGCTCCTCAGCATCTATGCAATCACTTCACTGCTGTAAGGCAGGGATTAAAATAATTGCTAATGGCATCACAGCAAATCCAGCAAACAGATCCATTTTATTTTATTAACATTTTAAAATTTTTATTATTTTTTTATAGGCATGGACGTTTTGCCTCTATGTGTTTCTGTATACCACCTGAGTGCCTGGTGCTCACAGAGGCTGGAAGATGGTATCTGGTAGCCTGGGACTGGAGTTATAGATGGCTGTAAGCTGCCGTGTGGGTACTGGGAATCAAACCCAGATCCACTAAAGATCGGCCAGTATTCTTGACCTCTGAGGCTCTCTCTAGCCCCCTAGACCCATTTGATAAAACAGGCATTCAGATCTGCCTGAAAGCAGCTATTATACACTGGGAAATATGATGATAGTTATTTATAGCTCTCCAAAACCTTTGAATTTAAATTTGAAAAAAAAAAAATGGCTTCATCTGCCTGTCTTGCATTTAGCCTGACCACCTCAGTGTGCACACAATCAGTTGTCCAGTGCTGGCCAGAGAGCACACTGACCAACAATACTGCTAGTGATTCTTGGATTCAAACCCGAGGCTTCATATTCACAACAAGTCCCAAAGATCAGAAACCCACACCCTTCTTTGTAGTGAGAATGATGGGCACAGACAGCAACCCCTTCCCATCAAAGCTTAGCACTCAGGGAGAAATGGCAATCACCGTACTCATCCCATGCCTTTGCTGTAAGTTACTCGCTGAGCTTCTTTCTCCTGTTGCGCAGGAGTCACACGTGCCAAGAGTCACACGCGCATGCACGCGTGCACACACAGACACATATAAATTTGTCTTTGAAAGATCTTTTACTGTCTAAAGTAAACCTGGGGTCAGAGGAACAATGGGGAGGATACTATGAGACCAAATAATGTCAAATAACAAAGTGTTTATTAAACATAAGGTTACATATAAGCAGAAATTGAAAAAAAAAAAAACACAGATAAAGCAAAACTTCCTACACTGAGTCCCAAGAATCTAGTCAATGAGAGAAATTATATAAATATGTCAACCATTTATCTAATTTCTTTTCTTCATTTAATACAAGGAGAAGTCACAAAACCAAAATATTTTTAGGCTCTAGAAGATTATTTACAGGATGGTGAATGATACGACAGACTATGTTCTTCACCTGGATTGGAAGAAGCCTCTAAGAGACAGGCTTGCCCTGGCTGGCCTTGAACTCACAGAAATTTGTCTGCTTCTGCACCTAGAGTGCTGGCATTAAAGGAGTGTGCCACCATGCCCCACTGACAAGTTTTCTTTTGAACTCCCTGTTAGCTTTGTTGAATCTCAATTTTCAGCTTTTCCTGTGTTTCTAACTGTATGAGATGAGCTAAACACCTGAGGAGCCTCCTGGATGAAGGGCTATTTTAGAGGTAGATAGAGCAGAGATAGTATTCTGAGAACAAGGAGTGGCTGAGACAGAGGTCTGGGTGACCCCAAGCAGGAAGCGTTTACCAGACACCCTGACAGAAAGTATGCAAAGCCCCAAGCCTAGTCTCAGGCAAGGAAAGCCTTCCTTAGCCTACCCTGCTGTGGCTGACAACTACACATGCTGGTCAGCATCACTTCCTCCTTGCTGGAACATCTGAGGAGACAGGAGACAACTCTGGGCGCTCATCCGGTGTTTCCCAAAACTACACAGGTACAGAAACAAGGCAAGTCTGAACTTCGGGGCCCAAGTCAGATACACCAGGAACGACTCCAAAACAAGCCTCCTCCCTCTGTGATGCACTCTGGATCCAACCCCCCCGACATGAGCTTAAAGACAAAACTCACCAAATAACCTTCATATTATCAAGGTTCTAAAGAAGAAAATCTGTGTCTTACAAACACATTAAACACGATAGCAGAGCTGAGCAAAGAGAGGATTCTATAACGCCACAGAGCAACTTACTATCAAATCAAATGGAACTGAAGGCCTAAACTAAAACATGAGACAGAAAGACTCCAACTCACGCTAAAAAGGAACATAAAGGGTCAGGGAAGGGCTGCAGTACAATTGCAACATACACTTGTGTCAAAACTTAAATAAATAATAAATGAACACCGTAAGCATAAAAAATAAACTTTTAAATTTCATGCACTGAGAAGGCCTGCAAATTCTCTGCAACCGGAAGGTCATGGGCTTTCTCTCTGGGATGCTCCCAAATCCAGGCAAACACCAGGCATCTATGACCACTTATTTCATAGGGAATATTTCATCTGCCTTTCCAAAGCATAAATTTCAGAAAGTGAAATTTGGCCTTCATTCATCAAGCCACATTAGGCTCTCCGAAAACTTCTAATTTTAAAGTCAAGTACCCATTTGATCCCCAGGCAAGGTCAAGAAAACAGGACAGCACAGCACTGACATTCAGGGCTGTGCCCCATACCGCAAAGGGGTGACATCAGTGTGGCCTGTTGCTATGGTGCCTGACTGTTAATTCCTGGACGAAGGTGATGAGGCGGTGGCAGATGAGCATCAGCAGGACGCCACCAACTTTGGCACAGAGCACTGACACGTGTTCCTCAAGTTACTTCTGTGAGTCACTGCTTTGAGGATGGGAATACTCCTTTCTCGCTTTAAACACCAAGCAGAATTTTTCAGTTCACATAAGCAAGGCCAGGGTCTCCACTATCTTCAAGACCATAAACACAACAGGAACCAGGAAAGTCAAGAAGAAATACTTCTGACTGCTCATGTCAACTCCCTCTTGTCTCACCGTCTATCAATTCATTTTCGAGTAGCATTAATATTCAGCCTCAACAAACCGGGGAAAGTATATTATTTGGGGGGAATGAAGTACATTGATAGGCTATTCCATAAGAGAAATCTTTCAAGACTTCTGCCAACATGCCACACACGTAAATTTACATGTTTGTATGCATGTTTCCGTCAACATGCATATGACACACAGACTAAATCCCACACCCCAAAGATTGAAATAGTTTTATATGCAAGTCTAGCATTTATGTATGATTTTACCTTTTTTTTGTTTTTTTTGTTTTTTTTTTTTTTTTTTGGCTTCTGTAATTCACTCTTCAGTTATAGTCACCTCAAAAGGTCACTTCTCACCCTGAAAGCAAAACAAAGGGCAACACATCACAATCTGAATGACAAGGGAAGTCTGGCAATAAACGTCCAGCATCCATGCAAGCAAACCAGCAAGGAGTGTAGCTGGACATCCTGTGGATCAAATTTTTTCAGTTCACAGAAGAAGGCCAGGAGCTCTACAACAGGGACCAGGAAAGCCAAGAAGAAACACTTCCGACTTCTCCTGTGAAAGTCCTCTTGTCTCGCCATCTATTAATTCATTTTCGAGTGGAAGAACACATGACTCACGGGCCTCTGTTTTTGGAAACTGGACTGCTCCTTGAATGTGTATGTTTTCTTCATACCCGCAACATTTCTAATTTCATTAAAGCATGGGCCTTATTTTTTCCCCTTGATGCTTTCTGTCATTCCGACCCTTTCAAAATAATTTTTTTTTTCAAGGCACCATTTTCCGTTTGGGGAGGGACAAGGGGTTAATTGCTGATGAAAGCTGTTCACAGGATATTCCGCGCTTAGCATCTTCCTCTACCAGATCCACTACATTAGATAAAAACGGTTCGTGTCACATGAAATAAACAAGTGAAATCAAGCTTCCTAAAACACAAAGGAAGCCAGGGACACATTTCAACCCACATCTTCACATCTGCACAGTCCTTGAGCAGAGCTCATGTGTGCCTTTAAGAAATGTTAGACACTGCCTCTTCCTGTCCGTGTTAACTGGAGTCTGCATAGGGCCCAACTGAAACAGCAAACATTAGTTTTTCTTTTTTAACTGAGATCAGGTTAGTAGTGAGAGGTTGTGAGGTTCACCTCACCTCCACTGACCAAATGCTAAACCAGGAGATGCTGAAGTCCTGCCCTTTTCCTAACCTGCTGATAGCCTTTTGCTTCCTGCCCAGAACAAAGCAGAACGCAACAGATCCCTGTTCACCTCTGCTGTCAGCCCTGGACGGGAAAGGCAAAGTCTTCCTCCTTCACTAGGGCTGGGAAACAGCGCTTTCATGCCAACCTCTGACATGCTCACAACCAAGGGGTATGCAGATTCTTGCCATGCCGACTGGAAAAAAAGATGCAGGCTCTGAGTGAAATCAGAACTCTCGTGTTTGCTGGAAGAGGAAATTGGAGGTTTTCACCTTAAATCTTTACCTTTTGGGTGGGGGAAAACCCTAGCACGGGAGTCTAAAATGACTGCCCTGTAACCTGCCCCCGAACTTCTTTGTTGTTGTTTTCACACAAAACAATTCAGACTGAAAATGAAAACTGTGTGCTTTCCTGCTGATGTGTGTCCTCAGGGTTGCCTTCTTGTCTCGTAGCGAACAGTGGCGGGAGAGGGCAATGGCCATCAAGTGTTCAAGGCCAACTAAAGAGGACTGAGGTACTCCCATTCCACTCACGGCATGCAGCAGCTCCTACTGGAGAAAGGTTACTCCCCCCCCCCCCAAAAAAAAATCAAAACTTTTAAAATTATGTTATTATCTGCATTCCTAGGGACAGAGCTCAGGGTCTGCCATATGCTAGGCAAATTTTTAACCACTCAGCTACATGTCCAGCCTTTATCAAATCTTAAACATAAAGTGAGTGGACTTTGGCAGACCCTGCTCAATTCAGAGCAAGGAGGTCCCTTTCTCTCTCCTTTTTTCCTGGGGACTATCTTCGATGCATGTGTTTTAAACTACTTTATATGTTTATCTATTGAGCTGGGTCTATTTTTGCATGTTTGGCAGAAGGGCCCATAGTATTAGACTTTGCAATGCAGATGAGATTTGCTATCATATAGGCCTGGCAAACAACTGGACCTCATTAAAATTTAATTTCCAAAGAAAACTGCTGAAAGGCCTACTTTGAATAAAGTTATCTACCTCCAGTTTTGTATCTGAGCCCACAGAACAATTTCAGGTAAGTGTGGGGTCTGTTTGCCCACTCAGTGGCCTAAAAAAAAAGCATAGTTGGTAAGTAAATGGAGGAAAAAACAGACACTGGCTGACCCTAAAAATGTAAGTAAGCGTATTTTTCCTCTGGAGAAGCAAGTTCAAAAAGAGTGAGTAACAGTGCAATTAGACAAATGACACACTCTATCATATATGCACTTAAGAAGCAGAAAACTGGTTACATTTGATTTTCACTTATGCGTCAAGTGTTGTCAATAAGATGTAAAATACATTTTATAAATTTTAATGCGCACGCACATCTGACCGTTCGTTAATTTATTTCTGTTGATTTTACTTTTTAGAAAAAGGTATCCATTAGCAAAGTCATCTGAAATGGTATTTTCTGAGTTTTGCCGCAGCAAGATTAATAGTTCAACAGCTGTTTGCCATCACGTGGAATTAAATGAAATGTGTCAATATAGAAGACAAGAAAATAAGGGTCTGGAGCTGGGACCCTAGCTGGTATCATTACATGCTTAGGAGAATCAGAAACCAACAACTCTGGAGAAAAATATGCAATTTGCTTTTTCCCAAAGCATGAAACTTCCATTTCTAAAACTTTGTACATTTGTTGATCAAATCAATCGACTATTTACCTCTCTGACTACCGGCAGCACACACACATACATTTGCATGTGTGTGTTCAAACACACATTTACATGACATGTACACACATACACACGCATGCACGCGCGTGCGCGGTAGAAAAGAAATTTATCATCCTCCATCCCTCCTGCCTCCTTGTTTAAAAGGCTGCCATCACACAGGTGCCACTTTGTTTTCTTTTCTCTCTATTTAAAAACTTTCTCAGTGACTTTTTGTACTAAAAGTGAGCCAGGCATGTGGTAAACAGAAATTGATGACTTTCCTGCCTAGAGTTTTCTTTCGCAGTCAAGATCTCCTGATCTAGAATTTTCCAAGGCGTCCTCACTACAGCACGTGTTATTTACCTGGAGCTTACAAGGTGACCACAGAGCCCTCACGTGTAACTTGCCACCTGTAGGGTTAGAAACCCAACATCGCAAGGGCTTCCTCTTCCTCTTCCTCTGTTTCGCCTGCCCCTCTGTTAGAAGTTCCCTGAGCAGTGCCCTGTGGTTGCTGCAATGCATCCAGGCTGCACTGAGTTACGGCCCTCACTCGATCTGTGAGCTATGTAACGCAACTGCCAACTGGCATGAGCTCCTGGGCACTGAAGCATGGGTTAGTTGACAGTGAGATCCTGCTTCACGGGGCTGGAAAGGAACAGCTACTTTCTACTTCTCCCATTCCAAGCAGTTCCTTCTTTCCCTTCTGCGGCAGCTACAGTAAGTGATTGCCACAATTCCTGCTTTCTCTTTCACACTGTGCAATCACCACCAACTGATGCTGAAGGGGACCAACATCATCTGTCCCATGCCTCCATCCACCACAGGCTGGTGGAGGAGCTGGGGTGTGCCAGTCTTGCCGGGTACATGAGGTGACCCGAGCCATCTGAGGCTCATGACAAAGGGACAGCTTAGCAGGTGCAAGGGACCAGGACCCAGCCTGTGCTTTCCTGAGGTGTAGATCAGGGCTCAAACTTTCACACTCCCACATCCTCTTACTGAACAGCACAGACTTCACTTGAGAAAATGGGTCCAAATGGGCCACTTTCCAAGGGAGTACTGCCTCTTTAAGTCATCAATCTTAACTCATTTTGGCTTTCCTGTCTTATTTTCCAGTGATTTCTTAGAAAACAGAAGGCTATCAGCACATGTTTGAGTGGTTGAACACAAGGGTCATTTTATTTTCTGCACTTAAGAAAATCCACTTAGAAATCACCCCGAGAGCTTTGCCCTGTGCTCTCTGGAACTTTGATTATTGAGTCATATTTAACAAAAATTCAAAAGAGGGAAGGCAGAAAGACAAAGAAAACCTGGGGCGGGGAGGGGGGGAAAGGGGCAGGGAAGAACATAGTGGAGAACGAAAAGGGAAAGGAGGAAGGAAGGGCACAGGAAATAAACTGCGCAGTCCAGGCGCCTGAAGCCAGGGCTGGCCTGAGACACACCCATGGCAGCTGGTTTATAAATGCTGCATTTCCTTTACTGGTCTCTATCAAAGAAATGACCTACCACAGACCACTACATCGCTGTCCAAACCCCCTGCCAGTCCTGGGAGGAACGTTTTACTGCTTTCTCTCCTCCTGGGACACACCACAGAGTCTAACTTTGGGGATATGTTCTGGCAGGCAGAACTTGAAAACCCTACACACAGTGCAATCATGTGGCACAGTTAACCCAAAGACTTGCCCAGGAAATCACGCCAGGCTGGCATCTCCCACGCCCCCAGGAAGGCTACAACCCCGGGCCTGTCTGATTTGGGAAACTCATTCTCTTTTACCTTCCACTCAAGTAAAACCCTGGTCACGGTCATGTGAAAATATTTTATAGGTATCCTTTAACAGCCTGTGCGCGTTGAAAACCAAAAACAATATTTGCTGTTTTGCCTTTGAAGCGCTAACAAAGCCTTTGTTTTAGATTCCCCTTCAGTGTGCAATAAGAGTTAATAATCAAATCCATCCCAACCCCCACAAATGTTAAACAAAAAGATAAAAGAAATGCAAATAGCTATTGTCATGGAAAAGTTAAAGTACCTGTCTGTATTTTTACGTGAAAACTATTATCTCTATCAATCAAAATTTAAGAATACAATAGTGCTAATCACAGAAGGTGCCCTGATGGCTTTGCTTCCTTCCCCTCTTAAAAAAAAAAAAAAGAAAGTATTTTTCCTCTTAAAAAAATGAGTATAAAAGTCATATACTTACAATTAGCTAGAATATTTGTAATTTTATCATTAAAAACCTTCAGCAGCCCCACTGCTAATAAATGCTTCTAAGTCTCTAGACTGATTGGTACCCAAGAAGACCCAAGCCCTCGCATATTTTAATAAGGTTGATGGAATTTTATTTCAGTTCTCCCAGTTTCCAACCTGCGGGGGAACAGCACACTCTTCTGTTGGAAGGAGTTACTCGGGCTGAGGCAACACTCAAGTGGGAGTAAATGCGCTTTCTTTTAAACCCAGTTCCTGCAGCCGGCAAGAGCTTTACACAGGACATGAACCTTAGACGGTTCCCCTC